TTTTCAGAAACGCTTTCGAATGATGTGCTTGCATTAACTTGAATTACTGATTGTCTTCATTAAATATGTAAGGTTTTTCATTGGAACTTGTATCAGCATCTTGCTCATCAATAGTTTCTTGCTTTATATCCTCCTCAACCGTAACCTCAGATTTTAAAAATTGCTGTAGACAAATTTCATCCCTCTTGCTACAAATGCCTGTGGTATTTTCATGATCTTCAAGTTCTTGTTTAAACTGAGGATATTCGTTCGGTTCAACTTTAATTGTTGTGTTTGAATTTGTTTCATCAGACATTTTCAACTTTTGTAGGTTATGGTAATTGCTATCTAACAATTTCAGCCTAAAAGTCGAGAAGACTTGTAATTTATGTGTTTGGAACGTGTAATGAATAAATTTTGATAATTATTAATATGTTATAACACTAACACTGATGTTTTTGTTATTATTTTATATTTTTGTTTGCTTCATTTATGAACTTTGACAATTTGACATTTCTACTTCGTTCTGATTGGTCAACACCAGAAACAACTTCAACTTCGAAGTTAACGGCGCAAAATTCAAAATCATGGAAAAAGATAGATTTTGGTCCAATTTAAATTTAAATTTTCCTTATTATGTATTCTAGTGTACAAATTCAAAGGAACATGTGTACGAGAAGATTTTTCACAATTTAAATTATTTTAGGAGGTACAGCTGTTTGATCATGATAATTTCCTCCGGTTTTATTCCTTTTGCGAAACTTTAAACGCTTTTTACTCAAAACTAGTTTCTTTCAATACGATGTACACCATTTCTCGAATTCTTCTGGACCGATTACCTAAAAAACTTTCTGCTTGTATTGACAAAACAATTGCTTTTGAGGATAAAAAATTATTATATCTTTTTTAGTTTCCATAAAATATTTTTGTAATTTTGGATTAAAAATTCAAAAAATTACCCAGGCTAAGCACAGTCTAATCTCCACTCTGGTACAAATGTTTACCCAAGTGTGTTTAGACTGTTTATGTTTATGGAGCACTTTTCCAATTTTGGGAAAAAACTATTGAAAAATGTGAAAATGCCGCCAAGCTAACCACAGTGTAAGTGAAAATGTCGCATAGAATTATTTGCAAATGCGTTTAGACTGTGACTATACCGGAGCACATTTTCAATTTTGTGTAATATTTTTTTAAAATTTAATTTAAAAATTTTCTTGTAATATTTTAAAAGCTACAAGAGATGCCATAAATAAATGCATGACCCCATACGTGCCGGAGTAACTTGTCTATTTTCATATTCAATTTGAGACAATATTATTTCTTATTCAATTTTGTACAAATTTGCAGAATATTTCATTAACATTAAATTCTTATTTTTAATGTTACAAGAGATATAATAAACAAATGCATGGCCATACTTATCTACTTTCAAATGCGATTTTTAGGTATACCGAGTTGTATGAAGCTTTTTATGTTTTAATAAATTGTTCTTGGTTGAAATTGTTTTTTTGCATATCTCACATTTATAAGGTCGTTCTCCAGTGTGAACAACTTTATGTTGAATTAATGATTGTTTTAATCTGAATGATTTATTGCATATTTCACACTCATGAGGACGTTCTCCAGTGTGAACACTTTCATGTTGTTTCAAATTCCACTTCATTTTGAATGTTTTATTGCATATTTCACATTCATAAAGATGTTCTTTGGTTTGCTTTACTAATTGATTTTCTCCAGTGTGAATTCTATTATGTTGTTTTAATACTCTCATTGCTGAAAATGATTTTTTGCATATTTCACATTCATAAGGTCGCTCTCCAGTGTGAATAACTTTATGTTGTTTTAAATTTCGTTTTGTGACAAATGTTTTAAGACATATTTCACAACTGTAAGGACGTTCTCCAGAGTGGATCATTTTATGTTCTTTTAAATTTGACTTTAATGTGAATGTTTTATTGCATATTTCACAACTAAAAGGACGTTCTCCAGTATGAATCATTTCATGTCGGTTTAAATCTGCCTCTCTTTGGAATGTTTTATTACATATTTTACAATCATAAAGCTTTAGATTATCGCTTGTTGTACACTTTCCAGAAAGGATTTGGAATGATTTGCTCATATTAGTTGAATTACTGATGTCTTCATTAAATATGTAAGGTTTTTCATTGGAACTTGTCGCAGCATCTTGCACATCAATCTTTTCTTGCTTTGTTTCCTCCTCAATCGTAACCTCAGATTTTAAAATTGCTGTAGGCATATCTCATCATTCTCCATAATCATATTTGATGTATATTCATAATGATCAACCTCTTCTTTCACTTGAGAATCTTGTTTAAAATCTTGCTCATCAACCATTTCTTGCTTTATATCCTCCTCAACTGTAACCTCTGATTTTAGAAATTGCTGTGGACAAATTTCATCAATTTCATAATCATCTAATTCTTGTTTCACCTGAGGATATTCATTCGGTTCAATTTTAATTGCTGTGTTTGAATTTGATTCTTCAGACATTTTCAGCTTTTGTAGGTTATGGTAAATGCTATCTAACGATGTCTGCCTAAAAGTCGAAAAGACTTGTATTTATGTGTTAGGAACGTGTTATGAATATATTTTGATAATTATTAATATGATATAACACTAACACTGATGTTTTTAATATTATTTTATATTTTTGTTTGCTTCATTTGTGCACTTTGACAATTTGACATTTTGACATTTCTACTTCGTTCTGATTGGTCAACACCAGAAACAACTTCAACTTCGAAGTTAACGGCGCAAAATTCAAAATCATTTGTTATACAGTTACATGGAAAAAGATAGATTTTGGTCCAATTTAAATTTAAATTTTCCTTATTATGTGCAAATTCAAAAGAATATGTGTACGAGAAGATTTTTCACAATTTAAATTATTTAGGAGGTACAGCTGTTTGATCATGATAATTTCTTCCGGTTTTATTCCTTTTGCCAAACTTTAAACGCTTTTACTAAAAACTAGTTCTTTCAATACGATGTCCACTATTTCTCGAATTCTACTGGATCGTACTTATCTACTTTCAATCATGATTTTAAAGTATACCGAGTTGTTGTAGGTTCTTGCAATATTAGACAATATTATTTCTTATTCAATTTTACAAATTTGCAGAATATTTCATTAACATTAAATTCTTATTTTGAATGTTACAAGAGATATAATAAACAATGCATGACCATACGTACTCGAGTTACTACTAGTCTATTTTCAATGACGATTTTTCTACGTACTCGAGTACTTATCTACATTCAAAGACAATTTTTAAGTATACCGAGTTGCTGTAGGTTCTTGTAATATTAGACAATATTATTTCTTATTCAATTTTGTACAAATTTGCAGAATATTTCATTAACATTAAATTCTTATTTTGAATGTTACAAGAGATATAATAAACAAATGCATGACCATACGTACTCGAGTTACAACTAGTCTATTTTCAATGACGATTTTTCTACGTACTCGAGTTACTTATCTACATTCAAAGACAATTTTTAAGTATACCGAGTTGTGTAGGTTCTTGTAATATTAGACAATATTATTTCTTAGTCAATTTTGTACAAATTTGTAGAATATTTGATTAATATAAAGTGATTATTTTAAAAGTTACAAGAGATATAATAAACAAATGCATGACCTACGTACTCGATTACAACTATCTATTTCAATGATGATTTTTCTAGTACTCGAGTACTTATCTACATTCAAGATTTTAAGTATACCGGTTGTTGTAGGTTCTTGTGATATTAGAAAATATTATTTTTTATTCAATTTTGTACAAATTTGCAGAATATTTGATTAATATAAGCGATTATTTTAAAAGTTACAAGAGATGCCTTAAATAAATGTATGATCATACGTGCCGGAGTAACTTATCTAGTTTCAATTTTTTATTTTTCTATCTATTTTCGATTTTTAAGTATACCGAGTTGCTGTAGGTTCTTGTGATATTAGAAAATATTTTAGATTATTTAATTTTGCACAAATTTGCAAAATATTCTATTCATTTCATGTGATTATTTTAAAAATTACAAAAGATGCAATAAACAATGCATGACGATACGTACTCGTGTTACTTATCTATTTTCAATGATGATTTTTAAGTATACCGATTTGTTGTAGGTTTCTGTGGTATTAGAAAGTATTGTATATTTAATTCTAAACAAATTTGCAACATATTTGATGTACATTGCAAGTACCATTTAAAAGTTTCAAGAGATATAATAAATAAATGCATAAAAATTAATTGCATACTTCACAATTGCAGCAGCTTCAATATAAACGACGCCCACAAAAAAATTATTTACTCGTTTGCCAATTTAAAGTATACCCAGTTGCTGTAGGGTTATATGTTATTAGACAACATTATAGATAATTTAATTTTGCATAAATTTTTCGAATATTTGACGAATTTTAGACGTACTGTTTAAAAGTTACAAGATATATATAATACACATTAGTCACGATTAAATTAGTAGCACTAACACTGTTTTCAAATGCTCTTTTAGAGTATACCGAGATGCTCTAGGTCATTATAATATTAACAAGTGTTAAATTTTAATTAATTTTGCACTAATTTGTCAAATGTTTTATTTATATTAGATGAACGGTTTAAAAGTTGAAAGGGTTGAAATAAATAAATGCACTGATGAACGCACTTAAAGCTAATAAAATTAGATACAAACTTTTAATTGCAATTTTAAAGTATACTGAGTTGCTTTAGGGTCTTGTAATATTGGGCAACATTATATATAATTTAGTTTTGTACATATTATAAATTAGACATGCCGTTTAAAAGTTACAAGAGATAAAGTATTAATGTAGTAGTTTAATTTAGAAATGTAAAAGTGTAAATTAGGCAAGTATTTTTTTTTTTTTGAACTTGAATTCGAAATGAAATGACGATTGTTAATGTTCTGGAGATAAATTGATTTATGAGTTACATTTCATTTGCTCAGATATAACAAACAAGATAGCAAAAATAATGAAAGTTACACTATTTGTAATAATATATTGAAAACGTTTAAAATTTCTCGAAATTTTATCACGGCACGGGAAGTACCAGCAATTTGCCTTAAGGCACGATGCCATACACTACTAGTTTTTATTATTATTGATAATGTAAATTTCATCACTTGTATTTTATAGATTCTATATCAGTGCTTATATTTAGACGACGATCTTTGTATATGTTTACAAGAAACGCAACGCATATGAACAAAACCTAAACGAGTCGCGCTAAAATAAATTTATCTAAGGACCTTATCTCATATTTCTAAGACTAATGTAAAATAGCGCATATAAAATATATAAACATTTTGAAACTGAATTGTCATAGTCGAAATTATTTATTTCGACTATCTGAGTATATATACAGTCTATTTATATTTTTCTATTGAAAAAAATAAAATGCTATATTTATAATTATTTAAACATTTATATTAGCATTATTAAACAATTACAATTACAACACACTTTTATCAGTAACAGAGTTAAAAAATATATGAATTGTAATTGATATCTCCACAAGAAATGAATTTTAAGGTTGAACAGTTTCCGGCAAATTCATTGTTGAATCTTTTCTTACTTCATCATGTAGTTCTTTTACATGTCGTCTTAATGCACTTTTTAATGCATATGCTTTATTGCAAATTTCACAACTGTAAGGACGTTCTCCAGCATGAACTGCTCCATGTTGTGTTAATGTCTTTTTCAATGCAAATGTTTTATAGCATATTTCACAACTATAAGGCCGTTCTCCAGTGTGAATAATTTGATGGTGTTTTAAATCTGACTTTGTTTTATATGCTTTATTGCATATTTCACAATTATAAGAGCGTTCTTCAGAATGCACAGATAAATGCTTTTTTAAGGTCACTCGGAGTGAAAATCTCTTTTTGCATATTTCACACTCATAACGACGTTCGCCAGTGTGTAAAACTGCATGTCGTTTTAATGTTACTTTTAATCTGAATGCTTTATTGCATATTTCACAATTGTAAGGACGTTCTCCAGTATGAATTGTTCCATGTTCTCTTAATGCACGTTTGCTTTTAAATGCTTCATTGCATATTTCACAACTATAAGGACGTTCTCCAGTGTGAATTATTTCATGCTCTGTTAATGAATATTTTGATTTGAATCTCTTTTTGCATGTATTACACTGATGAGGGCATTCTTCAGTGTGAGTAACTTTATGTTGCTTCAAACATTGTTTTGTTGCAAATGTTTCATTGCATATTTTGCAAACACTTTCTTTGGTATGAAGCCTTTTATGCTTGAATAAATTGTTCTTGGCTGAAAATGTTTTTTTGCATATCTCACATTCATAAGGTCGTTCTCCAGTGTGAATAACTTTATGTCGAATTAATGATTGTTTTAATCTGAATGATTTATTGCATATTTCACACTCATGAGGACGTTCTCCAGTGTGACAAAGTTCGTGTAGTCTTAATGATGCCATATTTGGGAATGTTTTGTTGCAAATATTGCACTCATAAGGATTTTCTCCAGTGTGAATTGTTTTATGGCGTTTTAAAGTCCGCTCGTCTTTGAATGCTTTATGACATATTTCACACTCATAAGGACGTTCTCCAGTGTGAACACTTTCATGTTGTTTCAAATTCCACTTCATTTTGAATGTTTTATTGCATATTTCACATTCATAAAGATGTTGTTTAGTTTGCTTTAATAATTGACTTTTTCCAGTGTGAATTTTCTTATGTTGGTTTAATACTCTCATTGCTGAAAATGATTTTTTGCATATTTCACATTCATAAGGTCGCTCTCCAGTGTGAATAACTTTATGTTGTTTTAAATTTCGTTTTGTGGCAAATGTTTTATGGCATATTTCACAAATGTAAGGACGTTCTCCAGAGTGGATCATTTTATGTTCTTTTAAATTTGAATTTGATGTGAATGTTTTATTGCATATTTCACAACTAAAAGGACGTTCTCCAGTATGAATCATTTTATGTTGGTTTAAATCTGCCTCACTTTGGAATGTTTTATTACATATTTTACAATCATAGAGCTTTAGATTATTGCTTGTTATACACTTTCCAGAAAGGATTTGGAATAATTTGCTCATATTAGTTGAATTACTGATGTCTTCATTAAATATGTAAGGTTTTTCATTGGAACTTGTCACATCGTCTTGCACATCAATCGTTTCTTGCTTTATATCCTCCTCAACCGTAACCTCAGATTTTAAAAATTGCTGTAGGCATATTTCATCATTTTCCATACTCATATTTGATGTATGTTCATTATCATCAACCTCTTGTTTCACTTGAGGTTCTTGTTTAAAATCTTGCTCATCGATGATTTCTTGCTTTATATCCTCCTCGCTCTTAACCTCTGATTTTAGAAATTGCTGTGGACAAATTTCATCAATTTCATAATCATCTAACTCTTGTTTTACCTGAGGATATTCAATCGGTTCAACTTTAATAGTTGTGTTTGAATTTATTTCTACAGACATTTTCAACTTTTGTAGGTTATGGTAATTGCTATCTAACAATTTCAGCCTAAAAGTCGAGAAGACTTGTAATTTATGTCTTTGGAACGTGTAATGAATAGATTTTGATAATTATTAATATGTTATAATACTCACACTGATGTTTTTGTTATTATTATATATTTTTGTTTGCTTCATTTGTGCACTTTGACAATTTGACAATTTGACATTTCTACTTCGTTCTGATTGGTCAACACCAGAAACAACTTCAACTTCGAATTTAACGGCGGCAAAATTTAAAATCATATGTGATGTAGTTACATGAAAAAAGATAGATTTTAATTCAATATTAATTTAGAACGCTTTCGTTTATATTTTTATTATTATTGCATCATTAAAAGTCAGAATTTCTAAGTTCTTGGTAGCCTTGATAAACTCGCAGTTTAAATCTTTTTAATGTTGTCTAACCTAAACGAAGAAGAGCTGTCAAAATGTCAAAGTGCGTAAATAAAGCAAGTGAAATAATAAAATAATAACGAAAAAGTCAGTGTTAGTATTATAACATATAAATAATTATCAAAATATATTTATTACACGTTCCTAGCACATAAATTACAAATCGTGTTGACTTTTAGGCATACATCGTTAGATAGCATTTACCATAACCTATAAAAGTTGAAAATGTCTGAAGCAATAAATTCAAACACAACAATTAAAGTTGAACCGAACGAATATCCTCAAATTAAACAAGAACTTAAAGATTATGAAAATACAACAGGCATTAGTATGGAAAATGATGAAATTTGTCTACAGCAATTTTTAAAATCTGAGGTTACGGTTGAGGAAGATATGAAGCAAGAAATCATTGATGAACAAGATTTTAAACAAGATCCTCAAGTGAAAGAAGAGTTTGATGATTATGAATATACATCAAATATGAGTATGGAGAATGATGATATATGCCTACAGCAATTCCTAAAATCTGAGGTTACGATTGACGAGGAAATTAAACAAGAAAAGATTGATGTGCTAGATGCTGTGCCTAATACAAATTCCAATGAAAAACCTCACATACTTAATGAAGACACCAGTAATTCAAGTAATTCGAGCGATTCATTCGAAAGCGTTTCTGGAAAATGTACAACAAGTGATAATCTAAAGCTTCATAAATGTGAAATATGTAATAAAACATTCCCACAAAAAAGAAATTTAAATCAACATAAGGTGATTCATTCCCATAAACATTCTGTTAGTTGTAAAATATGCAATAAAACACTCGCCGGAATACGATCATTAAAAATACATGAACTTGTTCACACTGGAGAACGACGTTACAAATGTGAAGAATGCAATAAAATGTTCAAATTAAAGAGCTATTTAAAACAACATAAAATAACTCACACTGGAGAACGTCCTTACATTTGCAAAATATGTCATAAAGCATTCAAAGAAAAAAAGACTTTTGATTACCATGAAAGAACTCACGCTGAAAATATTTATCCTTACAGTTGCGAAATATGTCATGAAAAATTCAAGGCAAAGCATCATTTGAAATACCATGAAGCAATTCACACTGGAGAATACCCTTATGTATGCAAAATATGCAACAAAACATTCACATTAAAACAAACATTAACTCGACATGAAATTAGTCACACCGGAGTGCGTCCTTATGAATGTGAGATATGCAAAAAAACATTTACATCAAAACAATCAGTAGTTCGACATAAAATTAGTCACAAGAACGTAATTATAATTGTGGAATTTGCAATAAAACATTGCAATAAACGATTTGTTAAGACAACATGTAAGAGGAGTACATGCTGGAATATGGAAAAAACGTTCAAAAAAAGTTTTGAATTTGCCGGAAACTAGCCAACCATAAAAACCTTTCTTAGTGGAACTGCACAATTCATGTATTTTTTTAACTCTCTTACTGATAAAAGTGAATTGAATGCAATTGTTCAATAGCTTACATATAAATGTTTAAATAATTATAAATATAACATTATAAATTTTTAATAGAGAAATATAAACAAAGTATATATATTTTTAAAGAAGAAGTTTATATTAAACTTAAATAGTTGAAATAAATAATTTTGACTATGGCTTTTCAGTTTTGAAATGCCTATACATTTATATATGCATTATTTCATATTAGTCTTCCCAATATGAGATAAGATCCTTCAATGATTTCATTGAAAAATAAAAACCTAATAATGACATGATTATTGATTTTAATATTATTTTCACATTACCGTTATGGTAACATTTTTCGGTTTATATATATATATATATATATATATATATATTATTACTTACTGCAACGACACTTGCAACTCTTTTCGATCCTTTTATCAATAATGCAATTTCACCAAAATGTGCTCCGTCTTCTAAATGACACACCTAAAATATTAAAAAACTGTTATAAAATATTATATATATATATATATATGTATGTATATATATATATGTATATATATATATATATATATATATATATATATATTTCAACAGTCCTATCACAAATAATTTGAACAAAAATGTAAAGTATCCTAAGACAATTTATACGTATTAACTTCGTTTGTATCTAATCACTCATTTATTGTCTCTAATGACACTCTCTACAATATTCAACTTGCTGTATTGTTAGACAATTTTATAGATTATTTAATTTAGTACAAATTTGCTAAATACATCATTAGAATACTATCAGTAGTTTACAAGTTATAAATTATTAACTTCCCGTAGGGTAAGTTATTGTAATGGGCCGAAAATCGGAATTGAAAATTTTTACATTTCTCGACGTTTTGAAGGTTTCTGAACGTTTTGGCATACCTCAGAAAAAATGGATGTGTATGTGTGTGTGTGTGTGTGTGTATGCATGTATGGATACAAATTTTCGCCCACGTTTTAGGGCGCACGGATCAACCGATTCGAATGGTTTAAAAAACATTCGATTCCTATTGATAAGGAGATGTGCTGATAGTTTGTGGCAGAGGCAGGTCAAGCAGTTACGGAGATAAGGAGCAAAGAGTGCAGAAAATAGAAATCGAGTTTCTGAGAGAACGGAGCATCAGATTAGAATGAACTAAAAAACATTCTATTAGTAATGATTGGGAGAAGGGGTTATTAGTTTTTCGCAAAGGCAGGCCCAGCCATTTCGGAGATACAGAGCTAAATGTACAAAAAATGGCAGTTTTTGAGAGAACTAAGCGTCCGATCCAATTGATTCAAAGAACTTTCTGCTTGTCTTAACAAAATAATTGATTATGGAAAAAAAAATTTGTCTCATTTTTTTTTTTTTTTTTTTAATTTTTTGTATATCGAAAATAATTCAGATTTTATTTTTTATTCTGACTATAGTTCTAATATACATAAACAAATAATTTCAACTTTGTAATTTAGTTTATATAATTCTTATAAATATTAGACAATGTTACAATATTTATAATAATCTATTTGAAAACATTCAATATTTCTCCAACATTTCGTTACGGTACGGGAAGTTCCAACAATTTGCCTTAAGGCACGATGCCACCCACCCCACTAGTTTACTAAACAAATGCACTGATTTTATCTATATGTAATTTACTCGTGTGCTTTGTGAGAGAATATTTTTTGTTTTCCGGAGTTGTTTGTAAATATAATATAATACGTGAATGAGTAATAGTATTTGTGTATATAATAGTACGAGAGTATATAACAGTGTTTGTAAATATAATATAGTACGTAAATTGTTTACAAAGTAAATTGTAACGATTGTAATTGATGTTACATTGGAGAAAGTTCTCAATATATTTGCAAGAGAATGAACCAACACATTTGTAATTCGAAAAATCTAAATCAGTTTAAGACGATGTTTTCGGAACATATCATCAATTTAAACCATACTTTCAATACTAAGAATTTTTTTTATTTTACATAAGGAAAAGAATGGTGACCTTAGAAAATTTGCTGAATCTGTTTTTACTTTTTTAAATCCCTTGTTGCGTTAATAAACGAAATTCTTCTCTTTTAGTACATGACTCTTATCATAGTATTATAAATTTTTATAATATAGTATATATATATATATATATATATATATATATATATATATAGTATATAGTATATTGATCATTTAATCTTTAAACGCGTTTTTCTCGAAACATCATTTTCCGAATTTTCTGCAGCGATTACTCAAAAACAAATGATCCGATCACTATCAAATTTTTTTTACATATTCTATATAAAGTTCTCCGTAAAATAAACGATCGACTTTTTGATCGGATCAAAAATCGAATTTTGGCAGTCGAAAAACGACCAAAATTTTGGGTAAAATTCGATTTTTTTTTTTCAAAAACGCCATCATTTTGTCAATTTTTGATTTTTTTTTCTTTATCGTAGTTCATTTCACAGACAATATTATCTAGTTTAACGAGATTTTTTTTTTTAATTTCATCCACGTAGAAGGCCGGAATCACTGCAGCAGTGAAAGGCCTTTTTTTCGCGCCGTTGGAGATCGACAATAACTTAAAAAATATTTAATTTTTTTCTTCAAAAATTTTACTATGTATTCTTAAAACATGTATAAATATATTCCTAAAATTTTGAAATGATTGATAAAGTAGTTTTTTTAATATAAATTCACAAAAATCACCCTTTTTTTGGCGGTTACACTAGTTGTGCCCCTTAATTTATTTTAATCTATAATACATTTTAAATGTAAACTTTCTGAAAATGCCGTTTAGATACCGTTTCTTAATTAAAAGAAAAATCATCCTTCGAGTATATATGCTCTATTTATATTCATAAGTATGTATTAAGAAAAAAAAGAGTGCGCGTAAGGATCACACGCGATTGAAGTAAAATTTATTTCTGTGTGTATAAAGTAGCAAATTTAAGTTGAGTAAAAATAAATACATCATATAAAAATTTTGAATAATGTTTATTAGTAATATGGTAATACTCGTGATGCACACAATTATTAGTGTCGTCAATCATCATACACATTCATATAATGATAAATTATAAATTATATATTTATAATAGCATTAAAAATATGTATAATATTTACAAACAATAATGTAATCAAAGTCGTACTTGAAATATGACACGATCGTTTTAAAGTAATTGCTGATTAATAAATTCTATAATATTCATTCACACAGTGCGATTATGTTAAACAACGCCTAAACAAATATTGTTTTTGCAAATTAACTCATCCTGTAACAATTGTGTTTGAAGAACTTCGTGTAATTAAAATTAACATACATTCATTTACTGTTTGTGTTTTTTTACTTTTTCGCTGACGATATAATCTTATTCCTTGAACAGCTTTAATATCCGTCTTGCCTAACAAATTGAAGCCATACTTTTATATTTGTTTTATTTATCAAGCCCTGCAAATGGCCTGATTTATGAATCATTTGTTATTTTATGTGAACGTTAATGCAATGATCATCATCAATATTACGAGGTAATAAATTAACCATATTATCATTGTCAACAGGCATATTTATAATTTGTCCAAATATTTCAAATTGTCCATTTGCATGTCGCAATCGTCTAATTTGCATGAAACACAATCTAGGTGAAATTAACCTTTCAGATACAATATCTAGTTTAGGTAGATAATTTGGCATAAATTTACACAAAGTGGGAATTTTACCCCGACAAGTTTGACATCCAACCTGATTATTTGAATCAATATTCAAAAAACCATTATTAAGAATTTGTTTTTGAGCTTCATTTGATATTTTTAAGTCACTTTGAAACCAAAGTCGATCACACACAAAACATACATAGCCAAAGCTATTTGTAAATTGTTTTTCAAACAATTTTCGTGCATTCCTAAACAAATTGAAGTCTTTATATGGAAGATCAAATACTTTATTTGACTCTTGCTAAAGATCAGTTCTTGTCACATTATATGCAAAATCATTAATTTGCAATTGACGTAATGTAGTGGCTGTATCAGAAAAAGTTACAGCAGTACTTTTAACTAAAAAGATAACAGAATAATATATTTAAATGTGAATAGTTGAAGCATTTTTTAGGAGTCAAAAAGATTCTTAATTATTAACATCTAAAATGATATCTGGCTCAATATTTTCTAATAAATTGGCAGTAACTGACTGGCGATACAGTTTAATTCTTTGAGCAACTGTAGTATCTGCCTTGCCTATAAAAATAAAAATAAAATTTTCCATTTAAGTAATAACTTCAAAAGTATGTAGTAACCTCGAAAAACTCGAATAATACAAATTACTTGAATAAACTCACATTTCTTACGCAGCGCAGATTTTTTAAATGTTTCATAATTTGCGATTATTTGCACTAAAATTGTTTATGGGGGACGGGATAAAATATGCTTCCGATCCTGACATTTTTATTAACTCACGAATCATACTGCTAACCCATGTCGCGCCTAAAGAAGTTTTACTTCAAAAAATGTTTAGAGACTACGAGCTAAGCACAAAACTCAAGTGAAAGTCGACACATTTTGTTTTGTTTTTGACATATGATTTGGCATTTGATGTATTTTTTGTTTTGCTCGCAGACTAGATCGAATAATTGCGATAGCTGCGCTTACTAGCGTCGTAAGCGCGAATCATGCAAGCGATTACTTTACACTTACGTCGCGCCTAAAGAAGTTTTACTTCAAAAAAAATATAAGCATTTACCACAATTTTATTCATATATATGTATACCCTTGACAAATTAATTACAATGCTACATTTATAATTATTTAAACATTTATATTTACATTATTGAACAATTACATACAGTACACTTTTGTAAGTGACGGAGTTAAAAAAAATACATGAATTGCAATTGATATCCTCACAAGGATTTTAAGGTCGAACAGTTTCCGGCACTTTCAAAATTTTTTCTGAAGGTTTTTTTACAGAGCGTATTCCAGCATGTACTCCTCTCAAATGCTGTCTTAATGTATCTTTTAATGCAAATGCTTTATTGCAAATTCCACAACTATAATGGCGTTCTCCTGTATGGATCACTTTATGTCGGCCTAATGATTGTTTTGTTGCCAAATGACTTATTGCATATTTCGCAGTTGAAAGAACCCTCATCAGTGTGAGATATTTTATGTTGATTGAATGCTTGTTTAGATGTGAATGTTTTATTGCATATTTCACAACTAAAAGGACGTTCACCTGTATGAATCATTTTATGTTGCTTTAAATTTGTGTTTCTATTGAATGTTTTATTACATATTTCACAACTATAAGGACGTTCTTCGTTATGCACTGATAAATGCGTTTTTAAGTTCCTTTGATGTGCAAACCTTTTTTTGCATATTTCGCACTCATGAAGCAGTTCTCCAGTGTGAATAAGTTCATGTCGTGTTAATGAATCTTTTCTTATGTATGTTTTATTGCATATTTCACAACTATAAGTACGTTCTTCAGTGTGAATACTTGCATGGGCTTTTAAAGCCCGATTTGTTTTAAATGCTTTATGACATATTTCACATTCAAAAGGTCTTTCTCCAGTGTGAGACCTTTCATGTTCGGTTAAACTTATCTTTGATTTGTATGTTTTATTGCATATTTCGCATTTGTAAGGTCGTTCACCAGTATGATTCATTTTATGATAGATTAATAATGACTTTACTGTAAATTTTTCATTGCATATATCACAACTATGCGGATGTTCACCAGTGTGAACATTTTCGTGTTGTTTTAAAAGCCACATTGCTTTGAATCCTTTATTGCATATTTCACATTTGTAAGGTCGTTCACCAGTATGATTCATTTCATGAATCTTAAATGATGTCTTTCTTGTAAATGTTTTATTGCATATATCACAACTATAAGGATGTTCTTCAGAATGAATCATTTTATGTCCTTTAAGATATTCCTTTAATGCAAATGCTTTATTGCATATTTCGCACTTATAAGGACGTTCTTCGCTGTGAATCTTTTGATGGTAATTTAATGCTCCTTTTGTTACAAACTTTTTTCTGCATATTTCACACTCATGTGGATGTTTGTAATAAGGGTCTTCTTTATGCAATGCTGAGTGGTTTTTTAACATTCTTAAATTGACAAATCTTTTATTGCATATTTCACACTCATGCGGACGTTCTCCAGTGTGAATTGCTTCATGGTGTTTTAAAGACCACTTTTCTATGAATGTTTTATGACATATTTCACACTTATGTGGACGTTCTCCAGTGTGAATTATTTCATGATGCTTTAAATGTTGCTTTCTTTTGAATGTTTTATTACAAAATTTACATTTATATGGTTTTAGATTATTATTTATTTTACATGTTTCAGAAACACTTTCAAATGCTTTGTTCGTGTTACTTGAATTACCAATGATTTCATTGAATATGTCAGTTTTCTCACTTAAACTTGTATCTTGCACATCAATCTTTTCTTGCTTCATTTCCTCATCAATCGTAACCTCAGATTTTAGAAATTGCTGTAGGCATATCTCATCACTCTCCATATTCATATTTGATGTATGTTCATTATCATCAACCTCTTCTTTCACTTGAGGATCATGTTTAAAAACTTGCTCATCGATGATTTCTTGCTTTATATCCTCTTCAACCGTAACTTCTGATTTTAGAAATTGCTGTGGACAAATTTCATCAATTTCATAATCATCTAACTCTTGTTTTACCTGAGGATATTCGATCGGTTCAATTTTAATTGTTGTGTTTGAATTTGTTTCATCAGACATTTTTGACTTTTGTAGGTTATGATAATTGCTATCTAACGATGTTTGCCTAAAAGTCGAAAAGACTTGTATTTATGTGTTAGGAACGTGTAATGAATATATTTCGGTAATTATTAATATGCTATAATACTCACACTGATGTTTTTGTTAATATTTTATATTTTTGCTTGCTTCATTTGTGCACTTTGACAATTTAACATTTCTACTTCGTTCTGATTGGTCAACACCAAAAACAACTTCAACTTCGAATTTAACGGCGGCAAAATTTAAAATCATATGTGATATAAATATATGAAAAAAGATAGATTTTAATTCAATATTAATTTAGAACGCTTTCGTTTATATTTTTATTATTATTGCATCATTAAAAGTCAGAATTTCTAAGTAAGACTTCGGATTATCCGGACTTCGAATAATCCGGACTTCGGATTATCCGGAATCCGGATATCAGAATATGCGAATATCCGAATATCTGAATATCCGAATATCTGAATATCCGAATATCTGAATATCCAAATATCTGAATATCCGAATATCTGAATATCTGAATATCTGATCTTTCGATTATCCGGACTTTCAATTATCCGGAATTCGGATTATCCGGACTTTCGATTATCCGGACTTCGGATTATCCGGAATCCGGATTATCCGGACTTTCGATCATCCGTACTTTCGATTATCCGTACTTCGGATTATCCGGACTTTCGATTATCCGGAATTCGGATTATCCGGACTTTCGATTATCCGGAATTCGAATTATCCGGACTTTCGATTATCCGGACTTTCGATTATCCGGACTTTCGATTATCCGGACTTTCGATTATCCGGACTTTCGATTATCCGGACTTTCGATTATCCGGACTTTCGATTATCCGGAATTCGGATTATCCGGAATCCGGATTATCCGGACTTTCGATTATCCGTACTTTCGATTATTCGGACTTTCGACTATCCGGACTTTCGATTATCCGGACTTTCGATTATCCGTACTTCGGATTATCCGGCCTTCGGATTATCCGGACTTTCGATTATCCGGACTTTCGATTATTCGGACTTTCGATTATCCGGACTTTCGATTATCCGGAATTCGGATTATCCGGACTTTCGATTATCCGGAATTCGGATTATCCGGAATTACAAACGTTTGTAATTACCGAATAAAGTGTGACGATTGGGCTGCAAAAATATTACAAATATATATATATATACGTATATATATATATATATATATATATATATATATATATAATATTTTATATAAGTTTTTTAATATTTTAGGTGTGTCATTTAGAAGACGGAGCACATTTTGGTGAAATTGCATTATTGATAAAAGGATCCAAAAGAGTTGCAAGTGTTGTTGCAGTAAGTAATAATTATATATATATATATATATATATATATATATATATATATATTAGCAAACCCGACGAACTCTGTTTCGCCACCAGATGGTTTCGTGAGAAAGATAAAGAATTTGTTTGTTTGTTTTATATTTGAAAAGGAAAAATTTGATTTTATTACACAACAGTAATGAATTTATTTCGATTACAAAAATGAAGTGTTTTTTAGTTGAACTTCTCTAAGTAAATGAAAGTGAATCCGCAAATTATCCGTTTCATTGAAGTGCTCTTTGGTAAACCACATTTTTTGTTTTTCGGTCTGACGTTAACACAAACAAAGCGGATGGTTTTCCAACTCGTGAACAGGCAACGTATAAATGCCCATGTGAAAAACAATGATTTTCTAAATAATCTATTTGAAATTTATTCTGCAAGCACTAAGCAATTGGCCTTGCGACTTGTTATTGCGAACGCATGGCGAACTGAAAATAGCAATTGTTTGAAGTCAAACGGAAAACCAGTCGGAATTATTGGTATGTCACCAAATCGCCAGCAATTTTTGATTGAATGGTGAAATTCAGTGCGTGTACATCATTATTCTTTGCGGCAAGAATTGCTCGTTGACTTAACCAAGCATAATTCTGATAATTCTCACTAATGTCATTACTCGAATTTTTAATTACGGTGCGTGAAGTTCCAGCAGCTTGCATTAAGGCACGATACCATGCACCACTAATTTTCTTAGCTATAAACCTTGCGGAGCCCGAGACCTTTTCAATGAATGCAAAATTGTCGAAATCGGTCCGTGCGTTCTGGAGTTATTTCAGGAAGGAAAACCCGACTTATTTTTATATATATATATATGTAGATATATATAAACCGAAAAATGATACGATAACGGTAATATGAAAATAAAATCAAAATAAAAAATCAAGCCATAGTCGCAATTATTTATTTCAACTATTTAAGTTAAATATAAACTTCTTTTTTAAAAATATATATACTTTATTTATATATCTCTATTAAAAAAATATAATATTATATTTATAATTATTTAAACATTTATATGTAAGCAATTGAACAATTGCATTCAATTCACTTTTATCAGTAAGAGAGTTAACAAAATACATGAATTGTGCAGTTCCACAAAGAAAGGTTTTTATGGTTGGTTAGTTTCCGGCAAATTCAAAACTTTTTTTGAACGTTTTTTCCATATTCCAGCATGTACTCCTCTTACATGTTGTCTTAACAAATCGTTTATTGCAAATGTTTTATTGCAAATTCCACAATTATAATTACGTTCTCCAGTGTGACTAATTTTATGTCGAACTACTGATTGTTTTGATGTAAATGTTTTTTTGCATATCTCACATTCATAAGGACGCACTCCGGTGTGACTAATTTCATGTCGAGTTAATGTTTGTTTTAATGTGAATGTTTTGTTGCATATTTTGCATACATAAGGGTTTTCTCCAGTGTGAATTGCTTCATGTTGTTCTAACGCCCGCTTTGCTATGAATGTTTTATGACATATTGGGCAACTGTAAGGACTTTCTCCAGTGTGAATTGTTTCATGGTATTTCAAATTATGCTTTGCCTTGAATTTTTTATGACATATTTCGCAACTGTAAGGATAAATTTTTTCAGTGTGAGTTCTTTCATGGTAATCAAAAGTCCTTTTTTCTTTGAATGCTTTATGACATATTTTGCAAATGTAAGGACGTTCTCCAGTGTGAGTTATTTTATGTTGTTTTAAATGACCCTTTAATTTGAACATTTTATTGCATTCTTCACATTTGTAACGTCGTTCTCCAGTGTGAACAAGTTCATGTATTTTTAATGATCGTATTCCGGCGAGTGTTTTATTGCATATTTTACAACTAACAGGATAGGTTTTACGGGTATGAACCATTTTATGTTGATTTAAATTTGTCTTTTTTGAGAATGTTTTATTACATATTTCACATTCATGAAGCTTTAGATTATCGCTTGTTGTACATTTTTCAGAAACGCTTTCGATTGATGTGCTTGAATAACTTGAATTACTGATGTCTTCATTAAATATGTAAGGTTTTTCATTGGAACTTGTATCAGCATCTTGCTCATCAATAGTTTCTTGCTTTATATCCTCCTCAACCGTAACCTCAGATTTTAAAAATTGCTGTAGACAAATTTCATCCCTCTTGCTACAAATACCTGTTGTATTTTCATGATCTTCAAGTTCTGGTTTAACTTGAGGATATTCGATCGGTTCAATTTTGATTATTGTGTTTGAATTTGTTTCTTCAGACATTTTCAACTTTTGTAGGTTATGGTAATTGCTATCTAACAATTTCTGCCTAAAAGTCGAGAAGACTTGTAATTTATGTCTTTGGAACGTGTAATGAATAGATTTTGATAATTATTAATATGCTATAATACTCACACTGATGTTTTTGTTATTATTTTATATTTTTGTTTGCTTCATTTGTGCACTTTGACAATTTGACATTTCTACTTCGTTCTGATTGGTCAACACCAGAAACAACTTCAACTTCGAATTTAACGGCGCAAAATTCAAAATCACGGAAAAAGATAGATTTTGGTCTTATTTAAATTTAAAATTTCTTTATTATGTATTATAGTGTACAAATTCAAAAGAACATGTGTGCGAGAAGATTTTTCACAATTTAGATTACTTTAGGAGATACAGTTGTTTGATCATGATAATTCTCTCCGGTTTTATTCCTTTTGCGAAACTTTAAACGCGTTTTACTCAAAACAAGTTCTTTTAATACGATGTCCACCATTTCTCGAGTTCTACTGGACCGATTTAATTGAAATTTTCAGAGAACCTTCTTTATAGACTTCTCTTCATTCATTCTTATTTCATTATCGAATATTTTAACAAAAACTGTTTATATGGAAGTAATAAACACACACACGCACACACACACATAATATATATATATATATATATATATATATATATATATATATATATATATATATAAAAATCTTAAACATGTTATTTCAAATTCAAATTTTCCGCGCCGGCATTTACTCTTCGATTATTTCCCCATGTGGCAGCACTACTCGGCTGACTAACCTCAATGTCAAAATTGTTTTGTATTGCGTTATTTCTGCGTGTCATTTGCCAAATAATTACACCATAACTATAAACACACGATAAATATACACTTAAATTCGTTTTAATACAATTCTGATCGTTATGACGTCCTCGAATGCGAAAAAACTAGTGAGCAGTTTCGTGAATTTCCTCAAAGATGAATTGTCAAGTAATCATCTGAGTGCTGATTCCTGCGAGAGCCTCGAAGTGGCTGTGCAATGTTTAGAATCGGCTTATGATCTAGGTAATGATGACGGTGTCCCCGAGACTAACTCCGAGCCTTTGATTAATATATTCAACAAGCATTTGTCTGAAAATCAGAAGGCTATCGAGAAAGCCAAAGCTGAGGCTGAAGCTTTGAAGAACGAGGGTAATAACTTGATGAAAAGCGAGAGGTACTTGGATGCTTTGGATCATTACACCAGAGCCATCATCCTGGATGCTAATAACGCTGTTTACTATTGTAATCGTGCAGCTGCATACAGCAAACTCAACAACCACGAGGCTGCTATAAAAGAATGCCAATCAGCCTTGCGCATAGACCCCACATACAGCAAAGCTTATGGGCGCCTCGGTCTAGCTTACTCAAGCTTGAACAAACACGCAGAAGCTTTGACAAGTTACAAAAAAGCCCTAGAACTCGAACCGGAGAATGAAAGTTACCAAAACAACCTAACCTTAACTGAGGAAAAACTAGCAAGCGCTCCACAACCATCAAACTCAGCCCCTGGAGGTGCTCCTTTTGATATTAGCATGCTCCTAAACAACCCTACGCTCATGAACATGGCCACGCATATGTTATCGGATCCGGCAATGCAGAACATGATGAGTTTTATGGGAAGCAATGTGCAGGGAGGTGCTCCCGGGATGGAGGCTTTGATAGAAGCTGGGCATCAATTAGCGCAACAAATGCAGTCTTCCAATCCTGATTTGATCGAGTCGCTGAGGAGGCAAATGGGGCCTAATGGGGAGCCTTCTGAGGATCCAAATAAACCAAATAATTAGATTTAGGATAGATTAGGATGTAATTTTTAAATGACAATTGTTGATATTTGATTATGGAAAACATTAGAAAATGAAAATGAAGACTTTTAATAAATAATAATATGAAAAAGCAGGATTATATGTATATATATATATATATATATATATATATATATACATATATATTGATATTTTTTTTCTATAACAACAGTTATGATTTATATTTCTTTGACGACACTTTGAAATTATTATTACAATATAAATCATTCCTTATTATATATATATGTATAAGCTTGCTTTTTCATATCAATTTAAATCCTAAAAAAAATATTTTTCAAACTATTATCAAGACATTATTGATAACTTGTATTATGTAATTTCAATTTTATATTTTCAATCAGTATCGATTAATTTATATATGTTATTTTAATGAATTCACAATGTTCTTGCATGTCTTACCACACTATTAGCTTGTAAATATATATTATTAACCGATTAGTTTTTTTTTGTTATAAATAAACATACTTCCAAACAAATCTTGGATTTTATTAATTAACAAGTGGTGTATGGCATCGTGCCTTAAGGCAAATTGCTGGAACTTCCCGTACCGTAATGAAATATTCGAGAAATTTTAAACGTTAATAACAAATACTGTAACTTTCATTATTTTTGCTATCTTGTTATATCTGAGCAAATCAAATGTAAATCATAAATCATAAATCAATTTATCTCCAGAACATTAACAATCGTCATTTCATTTTGATTTCAATTTCAAAAAAATAGTTGCGTAATTTACACAAAATTGAAAAATCGCTCCCGTAGAGTCACAGTCTAACCGCATTTGCAAATAATTCTATGCGACATTTTCACTTGTACTGTGCTTAGCTTGGCGGCATTTTCACATTTTTCAATAGTTTTAACACAAAATTGGAAAAAGTCTATGCATAAACAGTCTAACTTGCATTTGGGTAAACATTTGTACCAGAGTGGCGCTTAGACTGTGCTTAGCCTGGGTAATTTTTTGAACTTCTAATCCAAAATTACAAAAATATTTTATGGAAAATAAAAAAAGGTGTAATAATTTTTTATCCTCAAAAGCAATTGTTTTGTCAACACAAGCAGAAAGTTTTTTTAGATCATTCAAATCGGACGCTTAGTTCACTCAAAAACTGCCATTTTTTGCACATTTAGCTCTGTATCTCCGAAACCGCTGGACCTGCCTTTGCCAAAAACTAATCACCTCTTCTCCCAATCATTGCAAATTGAATGTTTTTTAGATCATTCAAATCCGATACTCCGTTCTCTCAAGAACTCAATTTCTATTTTCTGCACTCTTTGCCCCGTATCTCCAAAACGCTTGGATCTGCCTTTGCCAAAAACTATCAATACACGTCTCCCTATCAATAGGAATCGAATGTTTTTTAAACCATTCAAATCGGTTGCTCCGTGCTCCCGAAATCGTCGACAAAAGATTGTATCCGCACATACATACATTAACACATACGTCTATTTTTTCACTCACCTCTTTTCCCAATGGTGAAATTACAGCAACTGTCCCGCAGGACAAAAAGTACATGCTGGTTCCAATGGAACCAGCTTTGACGATTACGTCATGGGTTAGGAAAATTTCTTGTTTTAGGTATCCAATTATATTTCCTGAAAAGGGTAAAATTATATTAGTCTACTATCATTATCTCATGCAAGTAGTTGTTTACGATACTATTTTAAAGTAGAGGGCAAAAGATAGATTTAAATCGGGCGACATTGACAAGTGTGTTTGTTTTTTTTTTTGGTTTTGAGCACTGTTATTTAGTTTAAAATATGTTAATATATTTTCTTTATAAATTGATTAAATAATGTGGCAATTGTTACGTAACACCTCTTTAACAATAAAAATAATTATACTTGACTTCCAAAACTTTTGAAAAAAAAGAACTAGTAGGGCGCATGGCATCGTGCCTTAAGGCAAATTGCTGGAACTTTCCGTATCACATTTTTTTTTAAGGGTTAACATTTTTGAAAAAAATACTCTGAAAAAAATAGATTTTTGAGAAACCATAAATTTTTGACAAAAATTTCCTTTTTTTTGAAAAAAAGACTTTTTGAAGAAAAATTTATTTTGAAATATTTTGGAAATTCTGAACTTTTTTTCAAAGCAATCGTACTGCTTTAACTGCATAGAGAGGAAATATCGAAGCGCGTAAGCGCCGCGTCGCCGTCTAACGGATAAGCATTGGTACGGAACCGATAGGAATGTAAACAAAATGTATACTTATTGTTAAAATCTCTATAAAATATCTGATAATTTGACGTGCATATGTCTAATGATCATTTTTGACCGCCAAATGGCATTTTTTTACTTTTTTACTAGATCTCCGAAACCGCTAAACCTGCCTTCATAAAAATTTGATCAGTTCTTTATATTGTTAATATAGATAAAATGTTTTTTGAATTATTAAATCTGGAGTTCGGTTTTCTTAAAAACTGAGTTACTGATTGTGGCACTTTTTGCTCCGTATCTTCGAAACGGCTAGACCTGCCTTCGCCAAAAACTAATCAGCACGTCTCCTTATCAATACGAATCGAATGTTTTTTGAATTATTCAAATCGCTTCATCCGTGTTCCCGAAATCGTCGACGAAAATTTGTATCCGCACACACACATACACACATACATCCATTTTTTCTAAGGTATGCCAAAATGTTCAGAAACCTTTGAAACCTAAAGATATATAAAATTTTTCATTTTCGATTTTTTTTGCGATTACTATAACTTGCCCTACGGAAAGTTAAAAATTATCACAACTTTTTTATTTTCCATAAAATATTTTTGTAATTTTGGATTAAAAATTCAAATCATAAAATTATTCAGGCTAAGCACAGTCTAAGCGCCACTCTGGTACAAATGTTTACCCAAGTGCGTTTAGCCTGTTTATGTCTGGAGAAACTTTTCCAATTTTGTGAAAACTATTGAAAAACGTGAAAATGCCGCCAAGTTAAGCGCAGTATAAGCGAAAATGTCGCACAGAATTATTTGCAAATACGTTTAGACTGTGACTATATGGGAGCACTTTTTCAATTTTGTGTAAATTAGGCAACTTTTTTTTTTTTTAAATTTAATTCGAAATGAAATGAACGATTGTTGGAGATAAATTGATTTATGATTTACATTTGATTTGCTCAGATATAAAAAGATAGCAAAAATAATGAGAGTTACAGT